TGGGGGAGTGGAGTGAGTGTTTGTGTGTCTGTGTGTGTGCCTGTGCGTGAGTGTGTCTGTGTGTGTGTGTCTGTGTGTGTGTGTGTGTGATGGGGGAGTGGGGTGTGTGTGTGTGTGTGTGTGTGTGTGTGGGGGGGGGGGGGTGTGTGTGTGTGTGTGTGTGTGTGTGTGTGTGTGTGTGTGTGTGAGAGAGAGAGAGAGCGTGTACTTTTGGCCAGCATCAGTCTGGGTAGTGAAGCTACTTCTGGCCCAGCTCAGAGCCCAACAAGTTCACCCTCCCATGTTCATCCTGAGGTCTCTTTGGATTCTGGAAACAGAGAGTCTGTGAAGCCAGTGACACCCTCAAACCATTCAAAGGAGTTGCGTTTACACCAACATGCCTGCATCATTCTTAGAAAAAGGGGAGCAGGAGGAGGAAAAGGAGGAGACACGATAAAAACCAGCTCTGAGGACTCCCTCTTCTGGGCTTACTGGCAGCTCCAAATTCTCATTTGCGTCAATTAAGCAATGAAAAGGAAAGGGAAGAGGGAAATGAATTTGTTACTTTCTTTAGTTGGGGTTCCTGTCGCTGTGATGAAACACCATGACCAAAGCAAGTAGGGGAGGAAAGGGTTTATTTCGCTTATACTTCCACATCACAGTACATCACTGAAAGAAGACAGGACCAGAATTCAAACAGGGCAGGAACCTGGAGGCAGCAGCTGATGCAGAGGCATGGAGGGAGGCTGCTTACTGGCTTGCTCCTTATGGCTTGCTCAGCCTGCTTTCTCATAGAACCCAGGACACCAGCCCAGAGATGGCACCACCCACATTGGGCTGGGCCCTCACCCATTGATCACTAGTTAAGAAAATGCCTTACATCTGCAGCTAGAACCTGAGGTTTCAATTCAGACAAGCCAACACCCAAAGGCTCCACCACCGAGCCCAGCTCCTGCAGGGTCCCTGTCTTCTGCTGAGTCACCTGTGTTCTGAGTGATGAGAAGCACAGAGGGTGAACAGAGGAGGATGCAGCAAGCCCTTATGCCTCTAACCGACGCCGGAACCCCAACATTACAGCCTTATTCCTTCAGTTTGAAGAGCTCAAGTCGCTCATAAAAGTTCCCACTGGTGGTGGCATGTGGGCGGAAGCATGTCATCTGGCATTAGTCATGTGTGGTCAATGAGCATGAGTGTATAGGAAGCTTTCCCCCTGGAAGGCCTTCTTCCCCCTTTGGAAAACAAACAGAGGTCTGGGTTTCACTGTGGGGTTTTCATGTGTATGTATCTTTAGACTTTGTTCTTTTTCATCCCCGAGGCTGCCTTCTGTCTGCCTCTCCCCTTTGCTGGGAGGTAAAGGCACGCTGACTGCCAGGCCTGAAGCCTGGGTTTTACTCCCCAGGGCTTACATGATAGAAGGAGAAAACCAACACCCACAGAATGTGGCTCACTCTCACCAGCCTGCCACACCCCAACAGTTGCATTGGCAAGCTACCAGAAGGTAGGTCCTTCAGTGAATGCTGGGAGGGCACTCCCCTCAGGTCAAGTACAGGACAGGTCAGGTACTCCTCCACAGGCTGGGATATCGGATTACACTTCCCAGAGAAAGTGACAACCGAGTTTTGGCTTAAAGGACAATGGTGAACCAGCCCCAATTGGATGTGGGAGACCTCTAAGAGCAACAGTGTGAAGAGACCAGCTCCTCTTTCGGCAGCCATAACGGCCGAACACATGCTTTTCTGACCTTGTCCTAGACACTAGAAAGTTAGATGCCTGCCTCGTGACAAGGAACCAATCAGAGGTTAGCTGGTGGCGCTATGCTTTACGGCTCTGGGTGTGCTTTATGGACAAGTGCACAGCAATGACGCACAGAGCATAGCAACCACCCCAGGAGGGCCTATGGGCCATAACAACCAGTTGGCACATCAACCCAGCCACACACTCCAAGCCTGGAGACACACCAATCCTGAGCCTGTGCGTACCCCTAGACACTCCCCTTATGCTGCCCTACAAGATCTCTTGGGAGCCCCTAGGAGCTGTCTTTTGCAAGCCATCTGCCATGGTGGGTGGGTGAAAGACCCGAGCTAACATGGGGTTAGCTCGTTAAATTACAATAAAGCCTCGTGCAGTTTGCAGCAAGCTCTCAAATCCGCCTGGTGATTGGGGTGACCGTGGTCATGGCCTGGGATCCCGGATACCTGAGTTTTCTGGGGGTCTAACAAGTGTCAGCATGTGGCACGGTATTCACAAAGGCCTGGAGCATTTAGCGCTGGAGGGCCGAGGGCTGGTGGAAGAGTATTGCTGGCCAGCCAGGCCTGAAGGTGGCAGAGGACTCTGGGAGCTGATACAGTTAAGATGTTTTCTCCTGGGTGACGGGGAGCCATGAGGAGCCCTCGGCTCATTTATCTCACATATTACCTGGTATGGATAATTGGTTTTTGTTGTCGGCACCAATCCTGAAACTAGGCCATAGATTTCTTCAGAGTAGGAACCTTTTTTATCTTTTTTCCCTTCCTTTTTCTCTTTCTTTCCTTTTTTCTTGTTTTCCTGTTTAGTTTTCTTTTTCTTTTCTTTCTTTTGTTGTTTTGTTTTGTTTTTTTGAGTCAGAGTTTTTCTGTGTAGTCTTGGCTGTCCTGCAATTCATTCTGTAGACCAAGGTGGCCTTGAACTCAGGGATCTGCCTGCCTCTGCCTCCAGAGTGCTGGTATCAAAGTCATGGACCACCACTACCCGTCAAAGTAGGAACCTTTTTTTGTTTTGTTTTGTTTTTTCTTTTTCTTTTTCTTTTTCGAAACAGGGTTTCTCTGTATAGCTTTGGAGACTATCCTGGCACTTGTTCTGTAGACCAGGCTGGCCTCAAACTCACAGAGATCTGCCTGCCTCTGCCTCCCGAGTGCTGGGATTGAAGAAAGGCGTGCGCCACCAACGCTTGGCTGTTTTCATCTCCTTTTATCACTTGTTCTAAATAAGGTCTGCTGGGTAAGGTGCCAGGGACCAAGTATGGAGATAAGACAAGCTGGCCCACCCTCAGTGTGCCCACCGCCCGCAGAGCAGTGGGGAGGTGCGGACACACAACACACAGTGAAGAAATGACAGAGCACACACACTACAGACTACAATGAAGCTGAAAAAGCCCCCTCTGTCCTAATGAGGTCCTCCTAGCCATCTTGGTGCCCCGGTATGACACATTGCTCTCCCGTGTGTGGCGATGCCAGAATAGAGAAGCCTAGTGGGAGGGCGGTTATAATAAAAGTGTATCAGATACAATTAATTAGTGCATGATATACAATGCTTGAGAATAAATGACAGCATTACGACTATATTAATGGTGTATGTGTTTGCTCTACAATACTAGTGGTTAAACTTGTTCTTTGATTTCTCTCTCTCTCTCTCTCTCTCTCTCTCTCTCTCACACACACACACACACACACATGCACACGCACACGCGCACACACACACACACACATGCACACGCACACGCGCGCACACACACACACACAGAGGCACAAACGCACGCACGAACGCATGCTGCATTCTGATTCACGTTCCTAACCTCTGCTCCCTCTGCCTTCCCACGAGTCCCTTTCCCTAAATCTGCACTATTTTATTTTGTTTTGTTGCTCACTGATTTCCATTGGGGCTGTTTGCTTGGCCACAAGCTTAGAACTACTCACTGGAGCCAGGTGGGCTCACTGTTGGGCAGACAACTCAAGACAATGACTGCCTGGTCCCCCC